TGTAATGTCATGTGACAACAAGGTCATACATGTTTATTTAGTTAGTGGACAGACAAAAGCATATTGTCAGTTATAATGAAATATTGATCCATATACACATAGCAAAATATAATAGACTGTCAAAAACAAAACACACATCATGTGGATACATATCATGGTGGGCGATGATCTGGAAGAGCTTTATGTGGATTTGGAAGTGTATGGGAGGTTGTTACTTCCCGGCTGCCCACAGCGTCTACATAATACATAAAAAGGGATGAGAATTATAAGCATTCTTTACAGATGCGCTAGGTATATTTACTCTGAATGATAACGAGATTGTGTAGTCTTTGCAATGCATTTGTCCAGATTTAAACAGATGTTGTGGTTTACTGGAAATGCTTCCTCCGCACTTCTAAGCACACAAGAGTCAGGTACGGGCGTTTTCCAGGCGTCTGTTGCAGCTTCTCAAACTGTTGTAGCGTGTTAATTGCTCACATGCCGTGGAATGTTCCAACTGACATTTTTGGTTGGCTGACGCTACTCCTCTTGTTTCTATAGATTTCAATGAAGGTTTAGTTACCAATGAAGAACATTGGTTGTAACTCGCACACACACATACACACAATTATCTTTATTTCAAGGAAGTGAACAGATAAAGGGCAGAAACTTTTTTTAAATTTTTGACTTATACTACTTCGACTTAACCTTTTGTCATTAATATTATTATTATTATCATTTTCATTGTCCTACTTTGTTCACCTTTCTCTGTAGTGCCTGGATTTTCTTCACTTTACTATAATAAAGTGTGTTTTTACAGAGGTTTTCTTTTGTACTTCAAATTCTTTTCTTTTCTCACTGCATCTTCATCTCTACTTCACATTCCAATGCAGAATCGAATATATGTATAGTATGTTTTGTGATCGGAGTTGTTGTTGTAAGGGGGATTCAGACCGTGTGTGTGTGTGTTAGCTGGCTAAAGACTACTGACTGAAGGTTGTGCGTCAGGAAGGCCTTCTGTGCTTATGGAAGTGTGTGTATGTGTGGACAGATGTATCACTTCCAATCGAGGCTGCCCACACAGTTGAGACTTGAAAACAGATGCGTCGTTAGTAATAAGTGACAACTACTTGAGGTCAGTCCCACACACATGGCCTTTACCGTCCTTTACACAAACCTGCACAAGAAGGTAGGTTGGGATATGAGATGATTTTCGGTGTCCAGTTTTCCTATCCTCCTCCCATCCCCACAGTGGGAGAAACAGCATTGGTTGTCCCGAGGGAGTTAGTTAGATCTCAATTACCCGGTACTGAGTTATAAGCCACACCTTATTGTATGAGGGCTTATAATTATTACCCAGGCTGAAGAAGGTGCGGTGGGATTCGGATCTGGGGCTCAGTGACTGAAAATCCAGTTCTTCAGCCAAAACACAACATCTCGACGGTCGCCTGAGAGAAACATCCGACATCCCTATATGCCAGCAGTATTACGTCACTCTCAGACACCTAACGTAGTAGCTGCTTTTAGTCTGACTGCTATCCAAGTGACCATATCTAGCACATAGTAAGAATTGCAGAAAGAATCGTTCCAGCCAGTGTAGCTTGTTAGGTACATCGCAATGTGCTAGCCAGACTATTGTTCTGTGTGGCTAGAAACAATCGACAAGAAGCCTTCGATTTAAGTTTCATACTTATTGTCAGTCGTCAGTAAAGCACAACTCATAAGCAGTCTTGAAATACTTGATGATGTGCAATCACACAATCGGAGATTTAAAACCACCGTGTCATTCAGTGCTATTGTGGTCGGAGAGATTTTATCACTAAGACAAATATGTAAGCTATAGAATAATATTATGTAGAACTGTAGTAAACACATTGATTGATCGGTCAATTTTTACTGATTGATCGATATTGCCTTTCGTGTCTGATCCGTGGCCTGCATATTGTTAATTTTTACTATTAGTATTTAATAACTAATGGTATATTTCTAATATTATATTAATATGAAAATACTAATACTAACAAAGAAAGGTACCTACTAGTTGAAAGAAGAGATGCCTTGTCAAACTACCAAAGGAAGGCGAATTACCTCTTTGCAAAAACTTGCGTGAAATAATACTCTTGTCCACGCGAACTAAAAGACTAAGTCGCGTTATCCTCGAGAGAATCAAAGATGGACTGAATGCGGAACTCCTCCAGCCCAGAACAAGCTGGATTGAGGAAAGGTATATCATGTGCTGATCAGGTTGCAAATCTACGCATCGTCATCATCGAACAAAGCATAAAGCGACATTCAAACCTGTACCTTAACTTCATCGACTTCGAAAAAGGCCTTCAACAGCGTTGACCGAGAAGTTATTTGGAAACTGCTTCATTCAACAGCTATATGAGAGGGAGAGAGCCGCGTCTCAGGTGATTCACAATGGGAAATTCATAGAAGCGTTCAAAGGGAATACAGAAGTAAGACAAGGCCGCTTTCTACTATCATCACCGATGATATTCTCAATTGGGGTGAACTGGATTATGCGTCACGCTGTGAGGAGCGAAGAGAATGGTATACGCTGGATTGATACTAAAACTATAGAAGATCTGGATTTCGTGGACGATTCATCTGCAGTGTCACAAAAATTCGAAGACTTAAAGGCGGAAACGAAAAGATTGACCAGAAGAAAATGCGAAGATAGGACTCTGAGTAAGCATAGAGAAGACAGAGGTGTTGGAAATAGTCAACCAACAACAACAGCTGGGTATCCAATGATCGAAAACGAAACCTGGTCCGGTAGCTTGCCACCCACATTCGGCGCATATGTAGCCTTGATACTGTGGAAGATTAGTTAATTCTTTTGAGGAAAATCCTAATAGAAAATGGATTTCCACCACGTTTTGTAGACAAGAATATACATGCAAATTCTATAAAACGAGACTAATCATCTGTACCCAAGAAAATATTGTACATGAGCTTGGAGTTCAAAAGTAATTTAGCTTCCGATATCATGAAAAGAAGGATATCACAGTCGCTGAAAAGAAAATTCCCTGCTGCATCTTTGAGAATGACCTTTCCCAGTCGACCATCCCTGTCCAATAACCTGAAGAACAAGATCCCTCTGTTGACCAAATCTGTGTGCGTTTATCAATTCACCTGCTCGTTTGGAGCTAAGTATATCGGTCGTTCGATTCGAGTTTCGTCCAAGAGGGTACAAGAACACTATTCAGCATGGTTACGAAGAGGTGGAAGTGAAGCAATAAGAAGCACGATCATTGAACATCTGGTCGATAATGATCACCTTATCTCTACAGCCTCCGCCTTTAGAGTCATCTACAAGGTAAACAGTAATTCACGGAAATCACTACGTACCTGACTCATATGTACTGCTGAAGCTTTGGCTATCGAAACAGATCTCTTTGTGCAGAAAAAGTTCGTCCAACCATCTTCATCTTGCATGGTCTTTTTCCCTCTACTGTGTTAAAGTATGGCAATCCCCAATCATATTGTGGTTCTTCCAAATTTTTTTCATTTTGTCTATGCGATTTGTATACTCTTCCTTTTACATTTCTCTACATACTTTCTGACCAATTTATAAGGGTTTCTAGGCTTCTGTTGTATGCCTCACTTCCTGTCTTAGATTTTCCTTGGTACTATTCAGTTTTTGTGCTCTATAACTTAAACATTTCACCAATCCTATTTTCACTGACATAAGGTGGGATGATCGGAAGTCCAAGTATCTGTTTGAATGTGTGGGTTTTCTGTAAACACTAGTGTGTTTTAACTTCTCATCTTCTTTCCGTTTTACGCTACAATTTAGCACCGTTTATCGAATCAACTGCAAACATGTGTAATAAGAGTGACTCAACACCTGTGTACCAGGATATTTGGAACATTCTACTACCTCTACGACAAATTTATTTATTTATTTGTTGAAATTCATAAAAACTTGGTACAGTATGGCACCAAGAAGGATGCACCACACGATAATAATAAGACAACATAGATCAAAAGAAAAAAAGAAAGAAGAGAAAAAATATATATAAGTAGAGAACGGATAAAGAACTTCATCTGGAAGGAAAACAGTCATGCTTAACAAGTTTAAACAGTATTCGTTAACTATCATCGGGAAGGGAAAAAAGAAGGAAATTGCAACACGTGTAATAGCACGCGATAAGCTTCATTGATTGTTTGTTACTTCATTTGATTCATTGTGTGAGCGCTGAGATACTGCCCGGGCGCCCAGGCCGAAGCAGGTGGTTTTATTAAGGGACCACCCCACCCCGGAGCCTTTGACTTGGAGTCTAACCCGCAAGGCAGTGGAGCAGAGTCAGGAGCTGGATTCCCATGGTTTCCGGTGACCCATATGCGTTCATACGCCATTTGATCCGATTGGATACTGGAGCCCATGTGCCCCATGGTAACTGCTCTTAGTTTTTAACCGCTATCCAAACAACCTTCCTGACATGGTAGGACCTGCAGGGACAGAGTCCCAGTCAGTTTAGCATGTTGGGTCATTACGGTATTCAAGCCCGACCACCACGACAAGGTAGCAGTTATCGGCCGGGCCCACGACAAATAGGAGAGAACAAAGAAAACTATAAAAACTCAAGTTTCACAGTCGTGTGTTTATATTTGATATGATTATGAAGGATACATTTTGCTTGAAACGTCATTCAGTAAATAATACTGTTTCACTCACTGTGTGATACATCTAATAAACAAACTAATATAAAATTGGAATCAGTAGTACATGTACTGGTTATGTGAACAAATGTTCTTCTCTGGAAGAACGTTTATATGGGTATATTCTGTTTATTGACAATGAATGGTCAATAATTAATAGTAATTCTCTGAGTGCCAGCATCCTGCCCTGCATATCGAGGCTTTAGCAGTGTCACATGGTGTCATATCATCCTACATCCCTTCCTAAAATTGTGAACGTGGTTCTCATTGGTAAATGAATTAATCAATACTACTTACTTCCGGTTGTTAGAAGTAGTAACATTCTTCGTTTTTTTTTAAATTTTAAATTTTAGGATCCTACAGATGCATCATTAAAACATAAAAGTTGGAAAATTCGTTCCGGTGTTGTTTATAATCCACATAATAATAATAATAATAATAATAATTTAGATCACTCATCATTAATTCGACCGACATATCATCAATGTTTGTCTAGTAGTGCTATCCCATCGGATTCAAAGTATGCTGTTGAATTGGCTGATCCATCACGTAATTGTCTTAGTCAAGAGAATCATCATTCCTTTAGTAATCTGCACAATTATTCATCGTCATTATCGTCGTCACCATTATCGTCTTCACAGCAAGCTGCTTGTACTGCGTCTGCTGATATTCTATGTAGAAATAATACAGCTAATAGCAATACTAATATGATGATGATGATGACTGGAAGAAGCGTCAGTAGAATAGCCAGCTCTGTGACAACAACGCCAATAACATCTATGAATGGTAATAGTGGTGCTAGTGCTGGTACCGGTGTTGGCGGTGCCGTTAGCGGTTGTACAGTCATTCGAGACAATGTTGTAACAGACGATTTATTTCTTCGTAGCACTAATGATTTGGATGAATACTTACAATTGCCTAGTTTAATATGTAAAGCAGATGAATCCAATAATAGTTTTGGTAAGTTGATTTATTTATACTTTTATGCATGATTTACTCTTCTTTCATGTTTATCACTGTCTGTTTGTCTGTTTTCGACATAGAACTTTGCATCGATGTGCAGCACTTCAAGTCGCCACACTCCATGTACTACATAAAACAAGAGAAGAAAGTGGAAGAAATGCATAATAGAGACAGTAAACAGAGGTTGTGAGACAGAGAAATAGTAATAATAGTAATAGTTTCATTTGAAATCATAAGTCACAAAGAATGGATGCATCTCAGCCAGCTATTGAGAACGATTTTTAGCCATATCACCAATTGTCTCCAGCCTTCATTGGTGTTTACCGTCCCGAGGACCCCAACCAGTCAGGAAGTCTACACCTTCCTAAGTGGCTAGCGTAAACCAACTGTCGTGGACTTCATTGACTGGTTTTATGTTTTGTTTTGACCGCCGCTAGCTCTTCCCCAGCTAATATTGCCCTTTGTCGAGGAAGGTGATGACTATGCATACGTAACACATGTCCTAATCATCCCTCTCAGTCGATGTAATTTCACAGCCTCGTCGATTGATTTCCAGGCCTCACTGCCATAAAGGAGGACGGATCGGACTGCTGAGTAGTACACACGCCTTTTGGTTGATAGCCAGTCGGATATCACATCTACTAAGCCAGAGACTGGCATATGTGTTTATGACTTGAACTCACAGCCGTGGAAGTGGTTGTTGTAGATAGATAGATAGATAGAGTTGTTATCTGAAGTGATGACAAGCATTAGTGTCCATCAAGAAGGATGTCTACTCTAACTGATTTAGGCGACTGAGGGATTAACTTGTTAACTTAGAATACGCGTATGATACGTGGTCCGCCTTAGGGGGGATACTGATAAAATGCCGGAGTCTTCTCTGAACACTTTAAGCAGCAATCTTCAAATGTTTGGAATACGATTCTTCCGTGTAGCATCTGTTAACTAACCTATGTTATCTATAGCGTAGATGTGATATCCAGTTATCGATTAAAAAGTGTGTTTGTTGCGCAGCATTTCACCCTGTCCTTCTTTACGACTGTGAGGCACGGCTAGCAGCCTTTGACTACAGATGTGTGTGTGTGTGTGTGTGTGTGCGTGTGTTGCGTCATCTGTGTTAAGTAGTATGACATGATTAGGCGTAGGATGTTAGGTAGGGAGAAGGAGGGGGAGTAGTAGTAGTTTGTCGATGAGGTTGTGAAGCTGAAGCTGTATCAGCTGTACAGGACGTCATCATGAGCTGACATCGGTTAGAGAGTCATTGGAAAACCACGTGGGGTAGGTATTGGACAGTTGTTTCGTCCTAGTGTCATTGGGACTCCTCATCAGTACTCACCCACCCACCAGGTTTCGAACACAGGAGCTACTGGTTACAAGGCTAGCGAGCTCGTAGACCATTAAGAAGCCACTGGGACCTGTCAGTTCAATGGCTAGTCCATAAACTCCAACTTCTGCCAATTCACGACATAGCGGGTCCACTGGTCAATGTCTTCGGCAAGTTTTTATCCTCACACCTGACTGGCTTTACGCCACTGGTCACGGCTTCCCACTAGAACCCCAGGTAACTACCTAGCAGTCGCAAACTAGGACGAAACAGCTTTCTAGTACTCTCAGGTTTTTCAATGGTTCTCTAACCGGTGTTAGCTCATGATGCAACCCTATAACCAATCAATCAAATCCCTATATCAGTTGAGATGACAAAGACACGTATAAGGCATGCCAAGCCACCATCACATTCCTTGTCGAGCAATGTTGGTTGATAAAGGATGAAGTTGGAAAAGAGTTAAGCGTGTATGATCAGATCGAAAAACCTGGCGTCAACAATCCATGGAGTGTAGACTGCCAGTCTGGTTGGAGACCTCTGGGTGTGCTAACACTCCAGTGACTGGAGACTAAGTCTCTTGAGACTTGAATCTCTTCTTTCCTTATTGTTTCCACACACGATATGTGTGGTATATGGAATGCGGCAACTTGTGGACTGGCGCCCTTCAGTGTAAAGTTTTATGTTGAAACTTAGATAAGCAATTTTATTGCCTTTCCTGTAGTGGTGTGTACTTGTGTGTGTGTGTGTGTGTGCGGAGGGAGTTATGCTAACCGTGTTTGTAGCTAGGTAGCTAGCTAGCTAGTAAGTAATACGAGATCAATTCAGTAGTATAAAATGCGAGAAATGTGACGCGAGAATAATTGTGTGGTGTTTTTTCTTATTTCTTTAAAAAATATGCACAATTACTTATAGTAACAAGGTGTGACAGATGATTGGTATAGTACAGTACACAGTTAGTTATTCAAACATATTTACAATAAAATGGTGTGTGTGTATTGGTTATATATATATATATATATATATATATATATATATATATACGTGTGTGTCTAATTATCTAATTATCAATCAGTGGGGTGATGAAATGACAGCGCGAAAATTCCTGATGGCAGATTCAAAAATATTCAAAAAATTCCATATGAACGGTGATATTAATGTGATATATATATATATATATATTCATACACATGTAATTTCTCGTTATTAGTTTGTCTGTATTAGGTATGTCGGTCTGTCGATATACGTGTACACGTATACACGACTGACTCTCTTGGCTTATTATTTATTGAAACACCAATTTGGTACTTAATGGGTACCACCAAGTGGATGTGTAGCATAAAAATTGCATTGTTTGTGCTATGACTACTGATATACTGCCACAGAGACTTAGATTGAAGCTCAACTGGTTGTCTGAAAGCGTCACACCCTTCATCAGCTGTTGGCTTGAAGTTTGATCCATATGGCAGTGAAGCAGTGTTAGTGTCAGTAGCGCTGCGTCCTCGATGGTTGACAGGGTCCAAAAGCAGGTTCATGCACGTCATTTCATCTATCCGCATTCTGGAGCCAATGTATACACACACACACCATAGGCAAACCTGCACGTTTGCCAATCTGGTTGTAAGCTCTGGATCACTATGAGGAACACTCCCAAGGCTACGTGAAGGCGATGAATAGGATGTAGCTGACTGGCGGAGGCCATATAGACACTTGACCATATGAGAGCGCGTATTGAGAGGGAAAGGGAAGAATGCCCCGCCCTCTGGCATAAAAGGTAGCCTATGACTATTCATTATCCTGTCTGTCTGTCTGTCTGTTTTCGACATAGAACTTTGCACCAATGTGCGGCAATTCGAGTCGCCACACTCCATGTATCACAAAAACCAAGAGAAGAAAGTTGAAGAAATGCATAATAGAGACAGTAAATAGAGGTTGTGAGACAAAGAAATAGTAATAACAATGAATTATATAGTTTCATTGGGTATTATAAGTCACAAGGTGTGGATGCATATGCGCTAACCATCACTGAGAACGATTTTGAGCCATATCACCAATTGTCTCCAGCCATTGGTTTTTACCACCACGAGGACCCCAACCAAGAAGTCTACACCTTCCTACGTGGCTGTCTGGCTTAAACTAACTGTTGTGGATTTCATTCACTGGTTCCATGTTTTGGTTTGACCGCTGCTAGCTCTTTTCCAGTCTGATCTTATGTCAGTTAACATGGCGTAAACTGGCATATGTGAAACTAGCCCTCTGTATCCGTGCTGAGATTTCGTCAGAGATCAACCCGTTGGCGTTGGCTGATGGTACTTCCCAAATAAGTGAAGCGGTCAATGTGCTCTACCACTTCAGTCCCTATTTCTAAACTAGGAGTCAATGTAGTCCAGTCCTGTAACATAATCTTGCATTTGGCGGGAGCGAATCGCATACGAAACATTCGTAGATTGCGGCTCAAGGTGTTTAGAAGACTCTGCATTTTGTCAGAGTCGTCGCCTAGGAGGACCATATCATCTGCATATTCTAAGTTAACGAGATTATTCCTTGGTAGCAAGTCAATCCCTGAGTCTCTGAAGTCGGCACTTAGGGTTAAGTTCATTAGTACATTTATGATGAAATTGAATAGAAACGGGGATAATGGGCACTAGTCGTCACCACTTCAGATGACAACTCGATGTAAGCCGTCACCTGGCTGGCTGCATGAGTTCGAGTAGAGTGAGTGCCTTGATCAGTGCAATGCATTCCTTTTAACAGCCAAGCATCGTCGGAGGACCTCTCGGTCGACAGAATCGAATGCCGCCTTTAGGTCAGAAATATAACGATTGTTGGACCCCGGTAAGAATGCCTATGTTCTAGAATCTGTCCATGGGTGAAGATATGATCAATACACCTTGTTCCTGGGCCAGAGCCTGTCTGTCTTTATATATATATATATTCTAGTGAATTTCTTTATAGCGTTTGTTCATTTATTTTCAAATTTGTTTTTCACTTTGCGTTTTTTCAACAGCTGCTCGACGGGATAGTTGTACCATGACTGCAGAAATCCTTTCAACACTTTCTAATGTACGTGAAGAGGTAACAGGGAATAGTTTAAGTAGAAGAATTCCTACAGACCAGCACAACAATGATACACAACAGCGTAGTTGTATATACGTTTCTAATACTACTAATTCTATTCCTATTAACAACAACACCGCCAACACCACCAACAACACTCAGAGAGGGGATCATCTTTTGCGTAATCTGATATCTACAGATCCGCTATCCAACAACAACACCATCACCAACAATAATTATGCCTACAATCGTTGTGGTCGATCACAACAACAAAGCTTACATTCGCATTTCATTCAAAGTTTACATGGTAATGACGATGATTCCATTACAAATTCTCTATCGCTAACAATGACGACTCCGACACCGACGCCGGCAACAACTATTGCGACAATAACAAATTCAAGTCTTACGCCTACAACTATCTATTCTTCATGCTTACATCATGTTGGCGATAAAATTGGTATATCTATGTCACCGAATGATTATCGTCTACTGACAGATCCAAGATTAGCTAATTATGTTACCGATAAGGAGACAGAAGCCCAATTGATTGATTAAATAAATTGAGACTACGGCTACTACTATTATTATCACAATTGTTGGTACCCCGGTGGTTGATTCGAATGTTGACCAAATTCCTAACTAACTAACTGACTAATTACCTAATTACTCTTTATCACATATGACAACAAGACAACATATTCACAATGCATGTTTGGCTGTGTGTGTGTGTGTGTATGTGCGTGTTTGTGTTTGGGATTGATCTTATCATTGTCTATTTGATACATTCTTCATGATCATGATAAATATGATGCTTAGATAAGAAAGTATAGTATTATTATTACTATTATTATTAATAAATTATCATTTGACGACATTTACGTGTCATTCTTTCACGGGGAGTTCATGTACACCTGACCATCTTTCATTCTCTTCGTGTGTGTGTGTGTGTGTGTGCAGGCGTGATTGCGTGTATGTGATCATAATGACTAATTTTTCTCTTTATTTTTTAGGTTGCTTTATTCATCTTTCCTACTATCCTCCTCCTTTATCTCCGCCACCCCACCCCCGATCCCCACAAAACCGTCGTCACATTCTCTTTTTCTACTATTCTGATGAATACTGGCAGTGTGTTGATGTAGTGCGTTGTGTTGTTTTTTGTAATACACAGAAACAGAACAAACAAATAAAAGCCCCGAGTGCATTGAAAAGAAACATATTATCATTTTTATCATTGCTTTATTATTTTTTTTCACAAAATTCAATTTCCCGGTTATCATCATCTGCACCATGATGGATCATTGCTCTGGTGCTACCGCTACTGCTAACAACGACGTTGACGAGGTTGACGACGTAGGTGTTGTTTCTCTGCCTTTTATATATTGTCTTTATAAACACCGATTCATTAATTGTTGTCGTTGTGTTTCTCCTTCTCTGCCTTATTGTTATTGTTGTTGTTTTTATGAATAATGAAACAAAGGAACATTTCCTCTTTTTCGTCTTCTCTGACTTCTACTCCTTTTCATCTTTCCGTTAGTCATCACTTCGCGTGTGGGTGGGTGGGTGGTTGTTGAGTGAAGTCAGCGTACTCTGTATGTATCACTATTGTTATCTACTGTCAGTCATATACTGTAGTATGAGTATGCCGCAGACTCGTTGTTTTCCCAACATATTATCATCATCGTCATACTACTTACTACTACTACTTCTATAAGTAGTATTATTGTCATCGTCTGGATCGATTTCAATGCCACCACCGCATTCACCATCGCCTCCGGTACTACTTCTTCTCCAACTGCTGCTATTCTCATGAGCCGAGGTATTTTTGTTCATTGGTACTGCTTTACACATATTCACTTTGTGTTTCCCTCCTGCCCCGTTCTGCACCACACTGTTTATTTTCTATTTTATTAAACTGTACAATCTTTTACTATTATTATTATTATTATGCTCATTATTTTTGGTTGTTTCTAAAATATGTACAATTTCCTAATCAAATGTTTATTCACTGGTGATTTATTATTGTCTATATAAGATAAACACAATTGTGCATTCATTTTATGTATGTATATCCTAAACATTGTGTGATATCTTTTATTATGCGTATATATCTTTCTATTTTTAAGTGGTCGATGCTGCCTAGCTCGAGCCCGCTGGCATGTGTTTGTGTGTCGTGTTTTCTGCTGCCGATACTGCTGTTGCTTATGACTCTTCTATTACACTTTCACACATTCATCAACAAGTTTCTTTCTTTGAATTTTTAGCAAACCTTTGCGTGTCTGTGCGAGTGTGGTGTGTGTGTGTGTGTGTCTGATTGGTTGGTCGGCCTTGTGATATCTTGTTTAAAACGTAAGAAGATGTGTAATGAACTCTTTGACGTTCCTTTTCCTCTTTCAATTAAATTCTTCTTCTGTTTCCTCGCGGATTCCCTTTCTTCCATGAACTTTCCTTTTGGAATAGTAAACACACACACACACACCTGTGTATTGTCGGTGTTCTCGATGTGTGTCATAACTGCTTTCTATCGTATGTTTATTTGTGTTTATCTACTCTCTTTCTCTCTCCCTCCAACAATAGATTTCTATGACCAATATTTTGACAGTTTCCTTTTCCGTCACCTTCTCATCATATTCCCACCTAATGGGTGTGTGTGTTGATGTAATTTCCTGCTGACTACTACTGTAATGCTTTTTTCCCACCCCGTGGTCATTATTCGCTTTTGTTGTGAAACAGAATGAAATGATCATTCATAGACTATTGATTGTTCGTACGCCTTTTTTAAGGCTCTCTCTCTCTCTATGTGTGTGTGTGTGTGTGTGTTCATTTTGTCTTCCCCGTGCGCCACCCCGTTGTTCCCCTCCCCTTTTACACAGCTGCTTTTGTTATGTGTGTAAGTGTGTGCAGGCGCCATATTATTCCCAATCTCTTCGTGTTTCTCCAATATCATACATATACATATACACACACATACATGCATCTATAAATTTCTTTCCGTTTTATCTTTTTTCTTTTCATGGAAAACACGAGGGATTCTTTTTGTCTTTTTTATGCAAATATATATATGTGTATTTGTTTGTTTTCACAATATTATACACATACGCAATTCTCTGCCCCCTCCCTCTCTCTCCCTCCCTCCGTGTGTGTCTCTCTTAGACATTGACAAACTGTGAACAGCTGATTCGAATAAGACAAGGCAAGACAAAGATACGTTTCCTTTTCTTTTTGACAGGACTGTTATTAATAGTGAGATTAATAATAATAATAATGGTAATAATCGTTATCATTATTATTACTGTTATTATTATTATTCCTATTACAATTCACATTTTTCCCCCATCCCCACCCCATTATTTTCTCCTCTCTTCTTTCTTTTCTTTTGTCGTGAATCAATTATATACTACTTAAATACTGATTGTTTTAATGTTGTTTTTTTGTTTTGCTTTAATACTGTTAGATAATTTTTAGTCATGGGGTCGTTAATAAGTTAGTTGGTGGTGGTAAGTTAGTTGATCCTCTATAGGATATTTTGTTCAACGTTCATCTGTTAATATAATAGTAGTTGTATAGTATGCTCCATCTCTACGCCACCCTCTCTCTATTCGTCTCAAATGTGTATTACACTGTTTCTATTATTATATGTAGGTGTGTAAATCAAATGGGATATTTTTCTTGGTTAGTTTCCAACTTGGAGTATTCGCAACTAGGTAGGTGATATGATATTAAAGCTCTTTCTCCACAAGGATGACACATGAACGTTTCTTGCAGACAGTTAGTCCAAGGTCAAAAATGACTTTGATTCACTCAGACAAAATCACATTGTAGAACAATACATTATCGATGTATGGCAGAATCATAAAAGGAAGTTTTAACACTAGAGATTAGATTAAACACCTACTGAGTAAGGCTGGTTGTGTTAGTCTGCTGGGAAATCAAATAGCCAAATTTAAAGTTTCATTAAAAGGTAGATTAAGACTTCGGAGTCAAGTAATAAGGTCGTTTAGTACTGAAAGTTGTTTTAGGGGATTCGTAGTGGAACATTGCCATCCATATACATGGTCTGATGCAATGCTGAAACTTGTTTAGCCTGTAGGTATGCTCGATAAAGAGAAAAGGTTGGGCTAGGTGAGTCTGGCAACCTCACCCATTGAAGTTTGAAAGCTCAGGCTTGAAGCCCTTTATTACACTTGGAACGCAAAGGATACCCTTTCAGTTAACGAAGGAGATGACAGGCCTAATAAGGCTTACTCAATTGATATAAGTATTAAACTTGGGCACTGTGTGATTCATCAAAATAAAATCTTATCCATAAGTAATAGGGGGTGATACAATTACTCAGAAGTGGCTTTAGAAGTGAAAATTAGAAGCTGTAAATTACTTGGTACTCAACGATGGCACAAAGACAGAAATTTGATAAGGTTAAAATTGCTCTTGAGTGAGAATAAAGGTGGTAGTTGAGTGTCAATTTAACAAGTGGAAAGAGGGTGTGAAAATGTACAGAAGGAGCATATGAGAGTGATTATAGTGAATTGAGTATTAAAGCGAAAGGAAACTAAAAGTAAAATTATAAAGAAAAGAAAAGGTCGAAATTTATTTTTATATGGAACGACTAGTGAAGAGGTTAAGACCAAAGTAGAATAAGAGACTGGACAAACGTATTCTGTTAACAGAGTTCGGGTTTGTATTGACGAATTGCCAGCGCCTCCGCCGTGCACAAAAGTCGAAACCTAACGCCCTATGTACCATTTGGCTTCACTTAGTAGATGATCTTGAAAGACAACTCTGGTGGAGCTACGTGATCTGAGTTCAGCAAGTGATTGAGAATTGAGCTAGTAAATTGTCTTGCATTGTCCCTTTGCTAACCATACCGGATAATGTTCAGAGATGCGTTTCGTAAGCGTGCGCTTTGTGTCGGCGGCCAATACAACTAGCTCCACACGAGCAGGTGAATTTATAAACACACACATTCGAATGGCCCGTCCAAAGCGGCAGTTTATCCTTTTTGGATTTTTTTTATCCTTTTGATTTTGGCTTTTCTTTTTTAATTTTTACTTTTAGTTTGCTTTTGCTTTAATACTTAATTCACCATTATCACTCTCATATGTTGCTTCTGTATATTTTCACACCCTCTTTCCACTTGTTAAATTGACACTCAAATACCACCTTTATTCTCATTCAATGGCAATTTCAACCTTATCAAATTTCTATCTTTGTGCTATCGTTGAGTACCACGTAATTTACAACTTTTAATTTTCAATTCTAAAACCACTTCTGAGTAATTATATCAGTTATTTCACCCTCCTCCACTATTACTCAATAATAGACCGCTGTATATTTTTTAGTAAGTATAAATACGACTGTATGGCAGCCTGTGAAGATGATTTCGTCGATAAAGAAAATCTTATCCATATGGTTTGCTCACTACCGTTTAGAATAATCAGATGGGATGCCGTTAACCTGTTGTAAATCCATTCTTCCGGCGTGGTTAATTGGTCACAATGGTTAGGACTCTCGCCGACCATGCACATATTCCGAGGTTCGAACCCCCACCGACGCACACCTGATATCTATGGTCGATCTGCGAAATTTGGGCTACCGATATCCATGCTAAAAATTCCATGCTTGTACCAAAAATACAGTGGAATCAAGCTGTAAATAAAAAAAAAATCAATTTTACACCATTGGAGTGTGTGCTATTTACAGTTGTCATGTGTGTATGTCTGCCACCTTTATTGGGCTAGACAATAAACTTCAAACCATTGAGATATGAGTTTCAAAGCTTTCTAATCATCTGTTGATTATACGATTACTTTGTGAGTCTCTCCTTGATAAAATCGGCTTGATTAACACTATGTGTGACGTAATGAGTTAGTGTATTGTCCAGAAATCGGTCAAAGAAGTGTTACTTTAAGGAAGGAAGTGTATCCTACCCCCCCACCGCTGAGTAGACAGATGAGACATATTTAATAAAAAAGTGTATAATATAATAAAAGAGGTGCAGGGGTGGGGTGAGGATGGCATAGTGAGAACGCTGTCTCGTTGTCTGTTAAGTAGGATTTCTGGAGATACAATTCGAAACATGAATTATGACTATCATCATTATTATTACATGTCAATTAGATACTCAGTTTACTGTATTTGTAATAAAAAAAAATAAGAGTTTTATGTCCAACTCTACGACCAGTTTAAACACTGTCAGGAAAACATGGTAGCCGGTACAAGGAGGAAAGGGAGAAAATATGTCTGGTAAATGACGTCACTGTCCAATTTATATTTCCTTGGGAAAAGTGTTCTTTCATATGCCGTGGTGTAAATTTTTTCTTACAGAGAAAGGATTAGTAACACTACCAACTTGGTTGTTTGTTTATACTGAGATGTATCCGTTTTCAGAGAGGTGAATAAAATATTATAAAGGGCAATGCTTGTAACATCGTCAGTAATCATAATACATTATTACACTGTATCACATTGGGATTTTTGTCAAAACACTTAACTCTATGCTGTGAAATGTTGAATTGGATGGAGGATTTCATCATAAGGTAAAATCACTTAGAGGGACTACTGGAAAACAAGCTGGGAGTACTGGACAGTTGTTTTGTCCTAGTCTCTTGGGATTCTTTAGCAGTACGCAGCCCACTGGGGTTCGATGAAATCCTTCATCCAATCAAGCGAAAATTCCCTACAAAAAGAAACCAATACTTGAAAATGTTGAATTGTAGACGTGATTAGGCATATTCTCACTGTATCCTGTTGTAATACAACTAGTTATACATTTATTGATGTGATAATTCTCGTCTAGACATTCATGAAAAGGCATACGTTACATGTAGTTCAGCTATGAGGCTGAATTTTCGGCGAATTCATTTTCTTCAGGCGAATTGTGGCATTTTTTCTCATAAAAGAAGGTAGTAAACAAAGTCTCCAGCTTCCTAAATATAGTAAAGTCTCACAGTGGTGTTATACAGTTATATTTACTGATGATCATATCAAGATACTACTCACAGAACTTGCTAACATCGTTTATATAATTCCATTATTTTTCGTCGCTTGACTTCATTGGTATTAATATTTTCCATATTTCTGGTATGAGTAATGGATCATTCGTATTGTATGTGTTAGGTGTAGATTCACTCGATGAACAAGGGTTCAGTAACCAATCTCTCCATCTACCTAAATTGCTTCTCAGTATTTAACCCTCTTCCACCCTATTGTGTGGTTGTGTTTTAATGCAACTGCTGAACTTTTTTAAAATCACTAATCCTCTCGGGTAAACCATTCTTACCTTAGCTAAATTGTTATTTTCCGACAATCTGACCAGCCCCGTTCTACTAGTTAGACCTATGTGGTTGATCCAACTCTGTCATTGCAGGGTATTTTATAAATTATATTATTTTATTTAGTTGGATCCGCCGGATCCTTTAGCTTACGGAGGTTGTCTCTGAGTGAGTTTGTATGTTTGAATGCCACTCTAATTCCTGTTTTATTAAGAATCCTGCGTAGGGTCTCATATGTCCCCTCTTTATATGGTATAACATTGGATGACTTATATTCTCTCTTATTTATGTTATCATTACTAGTTTCACAATTATTTTTAATTTGCTTTTGGCCTTTTCTGATCTTCCTAATGAATTGTATAGGATAGTTATTCAACACCAACGCTTCTTCTGTCTGTTTTATTTCGTTATTTAGGTCTTTTGTTGTACTACTTAGTGCTACTGTTCGGTCTTTTAGACATTTAACTAATCCTGCCTTCACAAACAGATAACGGATGAGGTGATGAATTAAAGTCTGAATATCTAATGGCAGAATGCGTTGGTTTTTTATAAACACTAGTGTGTAGTTTGCCTTCTTCTATTCGTTTTATTTTACAATCTAACATAGTTGATTCTTCTTGTTTATTTTTCGATTCAAATGTGAATTATATTCCCTTTACTAGTGAGCTTATATGCGTCAACAAGCTATAGATTTGTTGTGTTTTTAACATTGTGAAAGTGTCATCTACATATCACCGTCATATTTTTGGAGTAGGATTATATGTATTTAGAGCAATATTATCCCAGCTGTCCACAAAGACATCTGCCGCGACAGGGGATATTGCTGATCCCATTGCTACACCTGTTGTCTATATATATATATATATATATATATATATATTATTGTGAGTGGTAGTAAATTGAGGTGCTTGAAACGTGATCATCAGTAAATATTAGTGTGTAACACTGTGAGACTTTATCAGAATAAATTTTATCCACAATAGAATAATACTTTACCACCACAGTGCCCAAGTTTTATTCTTACTTCTATATATGGGTTTTTTTTAATGGAACCATCCTATCTTTGTGTTAGTAAGACGCAGAATATGCATAGGGGATCGGTGTATTCTCTTTCATAGGTGAAATAAACCTCTGGCTTAAACATTATTGAAGTGG